TTTTTATTGGAAGCACAGATATTTACTATGGTTATGTCAACTTGTTCAATTGTCCCTTTAATTATGAGATACTTTCCTTCTTTATCTATTATGCTGGGCTTTGCCTTAAAGTTTATTTTATCAGAGATTAGTACTGCTACTCCTGTTCATTTTTTACTGTAATTAGCTTGGTATATTTTTTTTCATCCTTTAACTTTTAATCTGTTTTTGACTGTGTGTAAGATGTGTCTCTTACAGACAGCATATTGAAAGATCTTGTTTGCTTATCCATTCTGCCACCCTCCGTCTCTTTCTGGTCCATATTTAATCCATTTACAATCAGTGTAATTATCGATACATACGGATTAATTGCTGTCATTATGTTTGTTTTATTGTGGTGTTGCTGCTTTCTTTGTTCTGCATGTCTTCCTGTGTTGAGTTCATGGTTTTTTGTTCTTTCTTATGCGTTTCCTTATAATTTTAATGTATCCATGTTCTTCTTGGATTTTCATTTTCTTGGTATGGTGTGAAGTGTTAATTTTCTTTGAGGTTACCTTATATTCCATTAACTTTTCCCTCTATTTAGTGCAGTCTATTTTATCCTGTTATCGACATGACCTTTTCACTACCTGGATCTCTGTTCCTATGTGTTTACCTTCTTTCACACTGTAATTGACTGACCTCCCAGATTGCCTGAGTTTGTTCTTATACCTTTGTTCTGTTCTCAACTTTTCCATCTGTCGATTTAGTTCTAGGAGGTGCTGCCACATATGTCAATCTCTGAGTGTTGTCTGTCAGTCCACAGAACTCCCTTTAGGATGTTTTGTAGCACATGGTTGGCTGTGGCAAAATCCCTTAGTTTCTGTTTACCCTAGAATGTTTTGATTACACTGCTGTATTTGATTATCTTTGATTTTGGAAAGCCTGATTATGATATGCCTCGGTGATTTGCTTTTTCAGTCTATCCTTTCTGGGGTTTGTTGAACTTCTTGCATGCTTATCTTTTCACTGTTCAGGCTGTTAGGGAAATTTTCTTCCAGAAATTCTTCAACTATCTCTTCTGTGGACTTGTGTGAGTCCTTCTGTTCCAGAATGCTGATAATTCTTAAGTTATTCCTCTTTATGTTGTCCAACATGAATCTTTGACGCTCTTTGGACTTCTTTTATCCTTTTTATCTGCTTGCTCTTCTATCTTAATGGTATTGAGAGATTTGTCCTCCAGTTCACTAGTTCTGCTTTCCATCTCAATTCTACTCTTTTGCCCTTTAGTGTATTGTCTATTTTTGAAGTTCTATTATTAATTGTTTGAACAACTTTCTATAGGTTTTGAATTGTTTCCAATGCTGTATCTGTCTTATTCAATTGTGCCTGTAGCATTTTCCTGACTTCTTATTTTTCTCAATTTCATTGTACAGTATTTTGAAATATTTTATAATCATTTTTCTGAATTCCTTCTCAGGCATTTCCAAGGCCTGCTTTCCTTCCATAATGGAGTCCAGGTCTACCTCTAGGTTATTTGTCTCAGACATTTTATCTTGTTTCGGGTCATGCGCTGATATGGTCATTTTTGCTTCTTGGACATGTTTCGTGTTTAGCTATGGCCTTAATATTAATTGAGTGTGTGTTTTGGTATTTTTTAATGCTTTCTGATTGCCTCCAGCTAGATGTAATCAGGAGGTGGGCTTCCCTTTCACTCTTCTTACTGCTTAACTCAGAGTCACTTTCGCAGGTGTTGTCTGCCTCCCCAGTGTATGGCGGTTAGTATTGGTTCTCACCTAGATTGTGGGACTTTATAGGGTATGATTGTATATTGACTATATAGCAGCAATTGCTGTCTCTTCTTGGGTAATATAGGGCGAGAAAGAGCCCCCTATAAGTAAAACGGGAAAGAAAAACAAAACACAACCAAAAAACAATAGCAACAGCAAAAAAAATGAAAAACACGCAACAAAACAAAACAACCCATATTGGATACTGTAGTCTATAATTGTGGAAAATGGAGAGGCTGTCTGATAAATTTCAAGATACCACTGTTGGTTTTTATGCTGTACCTCAGGATTTGAATTTCAGCCTGTTTTGTTTTTAAACTCTTTCCCTCTCCACATCCCCTATTCTGGCCTTTTCCCTATTAATAAACAGTTCAGGGTTAGCTGTGGCTGTTTTGAGCTGCCTGCTTGTAGCGTAGTGGTTACAAATCGGGCTGCTAACCCCAAGGCCAGCAGCTCGAAACCACCAGCTGCTTCGCGGGAGAAAGAAGAGGCCCTCTGCTCCAGCAAAGATTCATATCCTCAGAAACCCTATGCAGGGTCACTATGAGTCAGAACTGACTCCAAGGCACACAACAAGCAAGTAAGCAAGTCCCTCTAAATGCTGAGAGGATCTGTGTGCATGCGTGTTGGAAGAACCTCCAGTGGTGGGGGTGGGAGGGTTCCACTCGCTCAGACACCCGCTTCTAGTCACCAGAATGGAGTTGCAAAGACAGCTAGAGGCCAATGAACAGACACCAAAAAAAAAAAAGAGAAATCAGAACAAAGCAAAACCAAACAGAGAATATTGTCACCTTTGCTCTGAGGTTCCCATGGCCATTAATTCCTGGCGGGTGTGCTTGCTCTCCCGCTTGGTCTTGTCATTTGGTCTCGCCCAAGTTTTCGGCTCCAGGCCACTCAGCCTGGCAGATTCTAAAGTATGATATTTCTTACTTCTGCTACAAGTTCCATTAGCTATAAGCCTTGAAACTTTTTAAACATTCCTACCTATGTGGTTCAGACTTTTAGAGCTCTCCCTTGGACCTGCTTTGTCTGGTATTCAGTGGTATTGCTGGCAGAAGTGTTCATTGCACATCTACCCTATCCACCATCAAGCCCTACCTTCTCTACTTACTAGTATTTTACAGAACTAAATACATACCACTTCTTGATCTTTTGATGACAGATGACTTCTTTGGAAGACCTAAAGTTTTAGTACTAATCAGTTGTTCAATGCCCACAGTACTTGGAATTTCCTTTAATGGTGTAGCCTTGGAAACAACATCCAGCTCAAGTTTAGGGTAATAATTCTTACGCCAAATGCTATTCACATTAGATGACTTTGGACATCTTTTGTCATTCCAACTGTGACTTCTTGATTGGAAAGTCTAAAAGAAATAGTAAAAGAAAAAAAGATTACTTGTAAAAAGGCAAAATAGTCCATTTATTTGCCTTTGTTTCAACATAAATTTTAAGTAATATATTACCTTTTAAAACAATAACTTTTGATGGAATATCTGTCTTTTCTAACCTTTTCTCCTTTTAGCCCTCTACTTTTCCATTAAATGTGTCATGTATTCCCAGATCTATTTCTCTTCTAATGAGGGGGGGGAAAGGGATCAAGCTATCTTGTTACATCATTTCTACGAATTAAAAAAAACAAAACAAAACTTTCTGAAATGAATAGAGTAAGAATGACACTGCGATTGAAGAAATATGTCCAGAAGAGAACAGTACTGTCAAAATGTGGGCAGTATTTCTATACACAATACTAATCAGCTTAATAAATGATTAGGCAGTAAGCCTCTAAAAGAATCATTTATGTACTCTTTACATGCACATGAACACTAAAACCATACATTTATGTATTTTAAATGACCAATTTTAGAGGTCGGAGAAAGATGGCAGACTAGGCAGAAAGGCTGTGTGGCTCTCTGCAGCAAGGGTATGGAAAACCTGACGAGACAGATACAGAGGCGTGTCCTGCAACTCTGAGCTCCAGAGGAAGGGATAGAAAAGTGGATCAAATGTTTACTGGGAGAAATAGTTGAATAGAGAAACCAAGAGAGGAGGTGACTGATGAGCAGCAGCAGCCAACAGAATCTGCCACAGCCATCTTGAGAGCTTGCGAACAGCTTTAGAGACAAGAAAATATTACCTGTGGCTGCAGAATCTTGCCTATGGCTTGCAGAGACAAATGTGTGATTTTATTAATTAATTTTTTATAACTTTTTTCCCGACTAGCATACACACCGAGCGAACCTCCTGCTTTCCAGGCAGTCAGAGTCACTCAGAGGTTGGGAGTCCCAGGGAACAGATGTATATAATAACCTCACTAAGACAAGCTCTGATCCAAATCTACAAAGCCGACCCTCGTCAGCCCTGGACTGGCTCTCACTACAAGAGGCTGAATGGACACATGGGGTAGAGAAAAAAAATGTGGGGAAAAAAAGGAAGGAAAGGAGGCTGGTAATCTGTGGGGGCGTATGGATACAGCATGACCTTTATGGACTTTCTCAGGTGGCTGTGAAGGCAAGAAGTGAGTAGGTTGAACAGCACACACTTATTGGCAGAGAGAAAGTCACTGACTTGCATTTTTCTTTGTATGGGTTATTTTTTTTTGTCTGTTTGCTTTCCTTCTTCTTGCATGACACAACACGAGAAAGCAACTGCTACCATACAGCCAAGCCAAAACCATACCCTTCACAACCCCATCAATTGGGCAAGAGCCAATGCCTGTTGCTATACACCAGAGCAACAACTACACGAACTTCACTTAAATCCACTTTGAATTGAAGTGTACTAAAAGTAAACAGAGAAGCTCATCTCTGGATCACATACACCAGGAGGCAATTGGTGAATGCCTACAAATACACCAGCATACGGTTATCACTCTGAATTGAACTTTACTAGTAAAAAGGAGTCCTGATGTGGTGCTGTGGGTTAATGTGTGGGGCAGTAAAACGACCGTGGTTCAAGATCACCAGTCACTCCTCGGAAACCCTACACAGGGTAACAATGGGTCAGAACTGACTCAACAGCACCTAACAACAAATAGCAAAATTAAAAAGAAAAGCTTGTTTCCTGATCACACACACCAGGAGGCAACTGCCTAACTTGTCAAGAAACAGCAACTGTGGCCATGCAACCAAGCCAAAGCTGTACCTTCTCAAATCCCACCAACTGTGCAAGAGCCAATAACAGCGATGGTACACCAGAGCAGTGACTAAAACCAACATCAAATAAATTAAGTCTGAATTAGACTATATAAACAGTGAACAGAGAATGGTGTACAAATTCATCTCCTGACCACACCCACCAAGAGGCAGTTGATGAGCACCTAAGAATACACCAACATACATTCCTCAGCTTAATACAAATACAATATCACATGCCTAGAAAGCAGCAGACAACTTGTTCACATGAAGAAACAAGACGGAGTAGTTCAAACAAATGTCCAAGATGCAGAGCTAGAAAATTCTTTTAAGTAAGAAGCAGCAGTAGGGCTATATGAGAAAGAATTCAGGAGAATGATATTGAGGTACAGGCATACATTTCATAGAAAAGTCAAGGAACACAAGGAGGAATTTAGAAAAATGCTACAGGAACAATAAAACAACATAGTTACAGCACTGGAGACAATACAAAGTCTGCAAATAAAAACCTACAATATTAATACTAAGATATCAGAACTGACAACACACTTAAAGGCAAAGGAGTAGAACTGAATCAATGGAAGCCAGAATTAGCAAACTTGAAGATAAATAAATCATTCCATACCAGTAAGACAGAAACCAATCAGAAAAAAAATGAATGAAAAAAATCTGAACAAAGCCTAAACTTCATGTGGGAAAACATGAAGAGAAAAATCTACTGGTTAGGAATTCTAGATTAAGGAGACAATAAAAAAACTAAAAAAAGAAAAACAGAAAAGATACTTGAAAAGCTACTGAAAAAAAAAAATTCCTTAGCTTCATGAAAGAAGAGATGGTAAGCATTTAAGAAGCTGAACAAACTCCAAACAAGATAGACACCAGAAAAAATTCACCAAGACATATCATAATCAAACTCTCCAAAATCAAACACAAATAATCTTGTAAAGAGCTCGGAAAAAGGAAATGTTATCCACAAAGGAAAACCATTAAGGTTAAGTTCTGACTTCTCAGCAGAAACCATGCAGGTGTGAAGGCAATGGGAAACATACACAAAACTTTGAAAGAAAACAACTGCCAACCAAGAATTATTACCCAGCCAAACCAGTCCCTCAAATATGACAGTTTAATTATAACATTTCCAGATAAATTTGACCTCATAGATTCATACAGAGCATTCAACCCAACAACAAAATATTCTTTTTCAGTGCACTTGAAATATTCTCCAGAATAGACAATGTTAGGCCACAAGAAGCCTCAGTAAATTTGAAAACATCAAAATACTACAAACCATCTTCTCAGCTCACAATGCTATACAATTAAAAATCAACAATAGGAAAAGCAAGGAAACAAAATCAAATACATGCAAACTGAATAACACCTTGCTTAAAAACCACTAGATAATGGAACAAATAAAATAAAAATTCCAACTTGAAAATACCTGCAGATTAACCTAGAACTGCTAGGAAAACAGAAGATTCCTATTGAAAGAAAAGACCTGCAAATAAAAGCAGACTGCTTGGTTGTTTGAATATCAAGCAAGCTGTTTGCTTTGAAGGCAAGGAAAGAAAAGTCAGCCCATCATGGAAAACCCCCTTGATTGAAACTCAAAGGGAATCTGTGAACAGTCTAGTATGTTCATTGGTGACCACCTAGGTCTACTTGTGAGTGGAAGTGGTAGAAGTAGAGCAATGAAGACATGGGATAGAGTTTGGCTATGTACCATTGACACCCATTGACGTTGAGATGAGAAAGAGGAAGAGCTGCTGGTCTGAAGTTTAGGAAGATGTGTGAATTCCTGAGCCCATGGGCACTAACCTAGGCCCTGGGGGCTAGGGCTAAGAGTGAAGCAGCCAGTTGATCTGAAGTGTGTGTGTGAACTCCCAAACTTGTAGCTAGTATACATTTGTCCCTCTGGTAGCGCAGTGGTTACGAGTCGGGCTGCCAACCGCAAGGTCAGCAGTAAGAAACTACCAGCAGTTCCGCGGGAGAAAGATGTTCTGCTCCCGTAAAGATTTATAGCCTTGGAAACCCTGTGCAGGGTCACTATGAGTCGGAACCGACTCCACGGTACTTAACAACAATGTAGATGGCTAGCTGACCAGAACTCGACCAGGGAACAGTAAAGATGTTTGATACTGTAATCAAGTGCAAATTGCTACAATTAGATGAATTACTTTTGTTTGTGGATATAGCTGCTCTAAATTCAAACTGGAATGGAGAAAATTTTCTTATCAAGGAACAGCCTTGTTTCCTCAGGATACTGGATTGATGTTGTTGTTGTCAAGTGCCACCAAGTTTATTCTAATTCATAGCAACCCTGTATAAGGTTTCCACAGAACATCTGGTGGGTTTAAACCCCTGATCTTCAGGCGAACCTGACCTTGTGGTCCTGTGCATAATCCTGCAGTACCACACCAGGATTCTAACTGGGTTAGAAGGGAGGTGCTATAAAGACATTGGAATAAGAAATGGGGGTGGCTATAAAGGCATGAAGTGGCTGGCTTACAAGCTTTCACAAGTATGCTTATTTTCAGAATGAGGGGGTGCTCACCCCCACTGAAATGGGTCTGGTGAAAGGTGATGGGCGATGATGGTGATAGGACTTTATGATTTAATTGTGATGGTCAGATCTGTAATTGTAGACAACATGCAACTAAAAGGGAAGAGTAGTTAGTCTTTCATTTCAGGAACAGACAATCCCAGGATCATCAAGAAGAAAGAGAAACTGGCTCTAGGCCCATGGACTGAGTAAGGCTATGTGCCTGCAGAGTGCCTGCAG